AGATACACTAAATATATTACAATTCCTTGATCATCCCAGAGGATAACTATATTTTTTCGGGATAAGTCTATGTTAATCCGGGTGTCGACTATTTCCGCACTAATTTCATCTCAATCGCTCAAACCAAAAACACAACAACAAAGTAACAAATTTACAAACACACACTCACGATCTTTCGACTTTATATGTGTCAGCTTGTCTTAGAAACCCTTCGATATTTAACAGTTAGTTAATTATTACTGTAGTAAGCCGTTGGTAAGCGCCACCTATTGTCGTTCTCTACTGGCCTTCATTCAGCAGTAGGTGGTACTAGGCTGATGATGAAATAAGTATATAATAAGTTTGCATCAAATGTTTTAAACTGTCAATACAGTTAGTACTAAGTAAGCCTACTTAACGTCTTGAACACTTTTGACAGTTATAATTCAGGAGATTAAAATGCATTTTAACCAATTTAATAAAACTATACGCAAAAGAATCAATACTCAAATTACAAGCGTAACATATTAGTTTTCATGAATTTACATACATACACATTCATGAAGACATATGATACTTGTACATATTAAAGTGTGTATTACATAAATTATAAACTTGTCACTGTTTATTCAGAACACTTTAAAAAAGGGTTTGCTTTATTTAAATTTAACTGGCAAACTGGCAACTGGAAATGTAAAAGAAATATAGTAGATGTAGATTATTGAACAAACAGAGAATTCTTCTGATTGCTACACATTTTTTTTACATCAATGCACATAACGACACACAACATAATAAGTTAAATGAGCCTGCTACTGTTGTATACTATATTTGACACTCGTCACGTGTAAAATAAGATTGAAGAAGAAAAAAATGTATTTAAATGTGCTACTCGTAATGCTTTGAGTTTAAAATATATTTGTAAAAGTTTAAGCAGTAGGTGTCCTGTGGCTTGGAGAATAAGAGATATAGGATTAACATAGTACATAATAAAATATAGTTGTTAAACGCCTTTAACAGACTTATTCTAATGTTAATACCATTATTACACTTCATTTCTTTCATTGCACTTTCTGTGAAAGGTGTTTCCAAGTGAATGAAAAGCGTCTCTTTTCCATCGATAATAATCACAACACCTAAGTATAGAAACCCTTATTGATGTAGGTACATCATTTTTAATTTACTTAATTACGTAGTAGTAGTAGTAGTAAAGTATTAGTAGTAATAACTTAGTTCACAAATAATAACTTTAATTAAGCTACGAGAACTCTACATAAGCACTACGAGAGTGCTACGCTATTTCTTAACACGTCAGCGTCGCACCACATCGACAAGAGGTGAGTCAATGTTGAACATAATTTTATAATCGGTGATTAAAAGTTATGTTAACTTATTTTCTCTTAAGAAAAGAGTAGTAATCTGTTCGTTATTTCATATAACTAAAAATATCCATTATTCAAAATACATCGTCAGATGCAATTATAAGAAACATATGCTTTAACACCTTATAAGTACAAAGTAGTTCAAACTCACATGAAATGGGAATATTGTCCTCTTTTAAACCCTTGATGCCAAAGACTGACTACCTCCATCTGAGCCATTCCACTTATTTTAAACGTAAAGTCCATTATTTGACGACCGGATGGCGTAGTGGTTTGTGTAACGGACTGCTATTCTAAAGATCGCGGGTTCGATTCCCGCTCAAGTCAAACATTTGTGTGCATGAACATTTGATGTTTGATTTGGTCTGGGTGTTTCTATGTATAATATGTATGTATTTACAAAAAAAAAAGTATATATGTATTTATATCAGTTGTCTAGTACCCATAGTACAAGCTCTGCTTAGTTTGGGACTAGATGGCGTTGTGTGTATGTGGTAGAATATTATTATTATTATGATTATTATTATTAAACTCACTGTTTTGCGTGTGCAGAAAACTTGTAAGACAGCTAAACCACTCGGAGTAATTATGATAAGATAGATACGTGCATAATACATAACGAAATAAGTTACACGGACTCTCCCTTTTGACGTTATTACGTAAAGCTTTTATCACAGAAATGAATAAACTTTTTACGGTACCTCTTACTTCCATTTAGTTACCTCAACATCATGTATAAGTATTTTCATTAAAAGTTTCAATATCAAATGGCAGAACTACGATGTCACAACTACAAAACAAATAACTATCGCCGTCGTCAAAGCGTATCTATTTAGAGACTCTCATTAGGCGCACGCTTGCCAACAAACTACCCATAAATGTTTTTTTCACTAACTTCGCGGAGAGATTTCGTCAGATTCACAAAAAGTCGCTAACGAGTGGCTTAATTCGGCGAAAGTTAGCCGTCGGATTACCTTCGCTGCGTTACTCCCAATTAGTTGGTGTTCTACGTCTCTGCGGCAAAGTTGCGCTTCTATACCGCACAATGAGACGGCACCTCTGAATAAACTTGACTATTTATAATATTATTGTTGTACGACTACCCTCAGTCACACAGGTGGATCATTTAACACTACTTATATTATTCGTTTTGAATAGCTTCTGCAGCTAGTGTTTGTAGTTTCCAATAACAAACAGTACATTGTAATAATCACATTAAAGAATAACCAGATACATATTTATTGTCTTGTTAACAGGTTGAGCTAGTGAAAGTGGAATAAAACTATTTTTATTCGATTTGATAGAACAAATAAAATTTACACAATGAAAACAGGTCGTAACGTATACTTTTAGTTAGTTATTCTGTGTATTATTAAAAAGGTTAATAAATAATTGATTTATTGAATATTCAATCGTTTTCGCTTTATAACCAATTGTAGAAATAAATGTTATGAAAGAAAAGATTGAAATAAATTTAAACTCAACTCTGTAGACTTCGGGTTATTAACCAGTCAAATAATATGAAAATACAGGAATATGGTTTGCATGAGCTAACCGCAGTCTGCATTTTCCTTTTAAAAAATGACATCGATAATATTGTTGACAGTACAGCCCAACTTTTTGTGCCCATTCGTTTCTATTATAACTTTCTCAATTTTAGAATATATGGCACAAAATTGACTTTTTGTATCCTGAAACATATTTGAATGAATATATATATTTTTTTCTACTCGTAAATGCCGGAAAAAGTAATGAATTATGACATCTTTTTCAAAATTGCTTTGGATTGCTCTATCCGTACAAATTGACACTACTGCTACTGCAAAAAGTAGATCGAGCTTCGAATTCCATTTTTGAATTACAGTTTCTTTTCTTTATCAGCTCCGTTCTTTGTAAATTTTCATGTTTAAATCATAAAAAAGCACCAATAAACAACCGTTTACAACCTCATAGTCGTATTGAAAATTTTCGTTACAAAACCTTACCATTAAATACCTTATTCCATTTTAATTAACGGTACACTGTAATTCGTTTCATCTACGTAGTCTTAACATCGTCAGGCTCTTGAGGTCTGAACGCAAAGATAATTCATGATTGTTCGTTCAGGCCCTTAATGTAATTATCGTCGATTGGATCGTCAATGTGATGGGTGGTCAATTTATGAAGTGTAATTAACTACGTCTCAGAAGGGTTAAGTTTTGCTCCTGGTTGATAAGTGACATTTGACATTAGGTAGGCTTCAATCAGTAACCGATCTTGTGGAAAAGCTATAAGGTGTCTTTTCCTTTTGATTTTCATCAGTATTTTTAAGAAAAGATATTATTGTGTGTGCCGAATGTATTAACGTGGGAATGATAAATATTTATGTTTGTATTATTTCTGTTTCTATGAAATTAGAGCTAAGACCACCGACAGTTAACGAAAATAATAGAACAAAATATGAATATATTAATTTCTTTTCGTTGGTAAATAATTAGAGGACCGCGGATATAAATGATTATATTTTAACTAAATATTAAAAGGTACATGTCATCAAAAAAATCCAAATATCCGAACAACCGGAACAAAACTTTAAAACAAAGGCCCTTAACCAGTGCGAATACGACAGTGAAACCAAATCTAAGTTTCCCGAATAGTGTTCTTATACTAATCCGTTGGAAATACGTCATTTAACTTTTACTTTTAAAGTAAAACACAAAAACTCATCTATTAAAAGTTTCGCAGTGCGTTCGTGCGTGTTGAGTATAACCGCAAAAGTTTTCACAACTCAATGAAACACTTTGAAATCCAATACAAATACGCAATAAGTCTACAAACTATAACTATATATGTTCAAAGCTTCTTTTTGGTTTTAAAAAGGTCAATGATATGCAGCAAATATTAAGCAACTATTGTAGCATAGTCATAAATATTTCGTCGGGTCTCGGCGGGTCTAAAAACATTATTGATTTAATTCATTAAGAGTGATACTACTCGATTGAGAAACTACTCGAAAGAAAAACAAGATGATAAGAAGTTATTGTAAAAATAATCTCAAAACAATTCCATGTAATATAATCGTTAGGATGCAATAATTTATTAAGCATATGAAAGGAAATAGAGACTGTTCAATATTATATCGTTAACAAATTTTTAGTTATATGAAAGTTGAGATTAAATTTTTAATCAATTTCATACTTGCTCTGAAAACCTTCACGAAATAAATAATAATTATGTTTAATCTAGTAATGTTGTTATAAATAGGATGGCCGATGGATTTTTCATCCAAATTGTAGCACCTTTCGCTAACTAACCGGTTTTGTACAGAAAAAAGACTTGACTGACAATGAAAAATAACAAAACAGGGAAAAATATGTAACAGTAAAGTAAAAAGAACCTTAAAAGGTTGACATAACACATTGCGTCAACTTTAATAACAGTCCACACTCCGATGTTCAAACATTTCTGCTCAGTTATCTGTGCTTACTACTATAACACTTCCCTTAACCCAACAGCCATTTGTAACCGATCCCAGTCCGATAGCTAATAACACATCAAACCGCAGTAAACAATGAGTGCCCTACAAAAACATTGTAACTTAAGACCGCGACACTCGGGCTGTTTCTATTTATCCGTCTGACCTAGTTTACTCTGTTACAGGGTGTGTGCGATGTTCCTGCCGGAGTTCGCAAGTTTCGTGGCCGCCATCTTGTTCGCCGTGCATCCTATTCACACCGAGGCGGTGAGTGTGTTTTTATAGACTACAGTGCCGGTGAACGGGAAACTCGAAATGTGTCATCTTGACGCTCTAGATACCAGTCTGTATACATGGTGTGTTTGTATCGTGAAGTATCAGGACTAGAGATTTAAAAAATGACTTTCTAAATAGCGTGGCGTTTTGAATTTATTATTATGAACAAGGTCATGTAGTAATGAGACGTACGTAATTTTTCTTGCAGTTTTATTTTCATGTTAGAGTGCATCGACAAAAGTAACGTGTACTTATTTAAAACGATATCTTGATTGAATTTTTCTCTTGAATGAATTGAGAAAAATGATTATCCTCAAATCTTTACCTTTACTTTTTCTTTACATTGTTTATATTCTCTGTTACATTAAGAGAGAATACACAACCATAGAAACGAGTAATGCGTTTATAACCCATTTATAATTTAGTAGACAAGAGAGGATCTAGATATTACATATTAATTTTATCTCATAGTCATAGTTAGAAGACTCGCACTTTTCTTTTGCCTACTCTTCTTAGCTAAAATAACCTTTACGATATTCGTCTTCTTGCAGTAAGGTAGGTACTTAAAGTCAACCTAAATAAAAAAACAGTAAAAAAACATAAGCATTATATATTTCAGTTTAACAAATAATAATAATAATAATATATCTCACACATCTCACACACGGCCGTCTGATCCCAAACTAGGCAGAGCCTGTACTATGGTGACCAGACCGCTGATAAACATACTTATATATTTTTAAATACATACATATTATAGATAAATTACACCCAGACACAGAACAAATGACCGTGCTCATCACACGATATTTGTCCTGGGTGGGAATCGAACCCACGACCTCCGGCTTAGCAGTCAGGGTCACTAACCACTAGACCAACAGGCCCGTCAAATGTATCTGACAAATTTATTTTACTCATGATTTATGTGTTTTAGTATTTATGCTGAATATAAATACATAAGTCCGTTTATTTTACGGCAAATTGACTACTAATTATCATCTCCCAGGAGTAATTTGGAAAGATAGAAGGAAAACAGAGGATTTTTCTGCAACTTGTCTTTCTTAATAAGGATGTCCGAGCCCAAATCTTTATCGGTTCTTACTGTTCTTAGAGAACTACTTATTTCTTCAGTGTTAAATAGATAAAAGGTTATAAATGGATAAAATAATAATTTGTTCCTAAATATCCCAATTTGTTCTACTCTAAAAAAAAATCCATTCCAAAGGCTTCTTTGTTATCTATAACAAATGGATCCTAATCTGTACTGCTTACTGATTACTTGAACTTGCTGATTAGTTTGAACTTAAAAATATAGTATTAAGGTTATAGTTATGTAAAATCTGGAATTAATTATTATACTGGAATTGGAGATAACAGAAAAATGTTGTCAATTTTTTTTGAAAAGACCACTCTCTCATTAGGACTATCTCCTGTGTCATGGAGGACTTAACAAACATACATAAACGGACACAAAGAACACCCATACCTTGGAGATCAAACCCACAAAAGTCAGCGCAGTAGGTAGCGGCGAGGTGACCGCTTAAACCACTTTACCATTCGTGCAGTCAAAATGTATCAGCACCATATATATTGCTGAATATTGCCGTATATTGCTGACCGGTGCAGTAATGAATGAATGAAAAAAAGGATTGGCAGAGCTCCATGTGACACTTTAAATTTGTACCGCAATGTCAATCCTTCAAAACATCTCGATGTTTCGACAACCTAAACACTTCTTCGGTCCAAATTTGTCCTGTAACGATGAGAACCGAGATGCTTCGGAGCTCCTTTTATAATTAATTTCTTACACCGGCGGGCGGGCTCAGTGTCTCTGAATTCATTCAAGCGTACACATAAATCACCCTCTCCCGATAATAGCTCTGATGTTAGAAGCACCGTGCGGTTTTAATCGGTTTCATTCCAACATAACTACACATTCGTGCCTTCGCTCTGCCATAACAAAAATGGTACTGTCAAAAAATATTTTAAATTAAAAAAGTAATGAAGCAATCTATTCTGACTTGGATTTAGTGGATTAGAGAGCTCAATTGAAAGGCACAATGATATTTTCATTTGTGATGGCTCTGAAAATCTTTTAAAACTTTGATCCGATCAAATATGTCCAATTGGATATCGTCCGGTTAATATTCATCCCGATATTAAATGTGTTACATTCAAAATAACAACCGTCCGTGATGTGACTTTTTTGATTTTTATCGAAGTTTGGCGCAGCATTTTATTTTTGTTTGTTTTATGACTTTCATTTGAATTTTTCTGATTTGTTTCGAAATATACACATCTACGAGTATATAGTCCAAGTTAAAAAATGTATAGTATAGTACGTATGCAGTAGTAACGAGTAGATGTAACCTGATGGTAAGTGAGTACCACTGTCCAAGGACACTTCTAACTCAAGACTCGCAAAGGCGTTGCCGTCCTTTACTTACCCCCCACTCTGCCCTCTTACAACTATTGGCATTCGATCGGTAACCTCACTCACTCGGTGGAAAACAACGGAAGAACTGCTTATTCCGGTTTGCAGTGATGCCGTGCTAGCCGTGACCAGCCGTCCCATACTAGTATTATCTGAAGCATGGCTCTCTTATTACAGATTTTAAGTTACAAAATGTTTACCATTTTGACTTTGTCTCAATAACAACTTAATTGATATCCAAAGCTGTTATTGAAATGGGTTTTCCTTTTTTAAAGTTAATTGTAATCAATAAAAATAAATAAAGATAAAATTGTGACATTATCGTATACTTAAGTGTTTCAGTTGTAGATTTTATTATTCGGTATATTATCCTCAACTAAGCACATTCTGAGCAGTGTAATGTACCAAACCCGGAGATCATGTTAAAACCATTAATCCTAGCCTCTGTCAGGATGTCACGTTGGCGGTTAGAATACGTAAGAGATTGTACAAATAATACGTAAGAGTTTTAATAACCCAACACTCGTTTTAACAAATTAAGGCACTCCGAAGTCCTGACTTTTAGCCTTTCAATACATGTTCTTTAATGTATATTCAGTTATTTTTGGTTGTGTTGTTAAGCCGAATATAGATAGGTTATGTACAAAATATCTTAAATTTTATTACTCAAAACGCCTTCAATTTTATTATCAATCAAACTAAATCTGGATAACTTAACATAACCGTATTGTGCAAGTTTGGATAAATTAGATAATATTTTTTGAAATTATTTTGCGAAACAAATGGGGAGAAATAATGCTGGCAAGGGCGTTCCAATCCAACCTCAAGGTTGTCTTTTTGCTTTTGTTATAAGTTTATTTTTTTGCATCCATAACTATATCTTTATTATCTTTAGAATATTGAACTTTCTTAAAAGTGTCACCGACTTCTTTCCAGTCGTCGCTGGTATTTTTCTACCAATTTGAAAAGGGTCAAACGGAAATGTCGAATCAAACTAAAGTCGGTTAAAAAAGAGTTTTCAGTGCACTGTAGACTACACACTGGTCACTATATTCGTATTAACAACATGCTACTGTATATATTTGTGTATTTTTCCTGGATAAGACGGAGGCCTCTTATTTCATGGGCCCTGTTGTGCGCCTCAATCGTTGTCAACTCCGGATGTCCCGGATCCCTCCTATTACAGGCGCAAAGTGGCACACCATGTGGTTTTAGTCGGTCCGATTCCGACACACCACCCCGCCGTAAACCCCAGTGGGTGACGGCCCGAGGGGGTTTCCACACATAATAAAAAGAATGTATGTGTGCATTTATGTTGAAGCGGCTGGTGCTGGGCTACTTGGTGTACACTTTACGACGCTAAATCCATCCCGAGACAAGTGCTCTGGGACTAGTGTCCAAAAGAGTACGCGATGAACGAGAAAATTTGAGCGTTTGCTTCAGATATTTATTTTGATCGTTACTTTTTGAACTTATAATGTAAAAGTTATTTTACATCTTAATAAAACTTAGACGGGTCGGGTGGTGGTTAGTAACCCAGGGCAAATACGTATGAGCGCGATCATTTGTTCTGTTTCTGGATGTAATTTATCTATAGTATGTATGTATTTAGAAACATATAAGTATGTTTATCAGTAGTCTGGTTACCATAGTACAGGCCCTGCCTAGTTCGGGATGAGACGGCCATGTGTAAAATGTGTCAAGTTATTTAAGTTTATAAATTGATACATTATTATTATTATACATAGTAACGAAAAAAATTACTTGGTTGTACCAACTTGCTTTGCCAATTCAAAAAGTCTACACTTCATAATTTGATTACAAAGATGAAAAAATTGGATATTTTATAAAACTATGGTTAAAGCAAATCACGTTTTAAGAGAAGCTATACATGAGGCTCTTATATGTGTAACAGTCTCATTTCATCTGGGAGTGTATAGGTACTTTCTTTCAAAGGGTATTCGAAGCATATATTTAAAATATTATTTTTTATTTTCTACAAAATCGTTAAACTGTAATCGCTACAGTACCAACCAGCCCCAATTCAATTGAACGAATCACAGTATTAAGGTCAGAATTCAGTGTAACTTTGAAATGTAAAATTACTCTATAATATAAAAAACAAAGAATGTACCTACTAAAAGTTTTAATGAATATCATGTTACAAGCCGCTGCCAAACCTACAATATAATGCCAATTATTATTAAAGTTCAAATTTACTACTTAAGTTACAAATTTTTGAGTGTTAAAAGTTGCCCTTAGAAAATTAAAACCCAATCAATATTATAGCAAAACAATATATTCTTAATAAATTTCCACCACTAAGTAATACAATATTAAAAACCGTCGACAACGTGTACCCCTAGAGAATGTATTCAAATGCTGCGATAGACATCCTCTTTCCTATTACTTCCATTCTACTAAGCTTGAGTCTTGAGCTCACAGCTTGAGTCTCATCAAGTAATTTCACAAACACTGCCATAAAAACGCTATTTAACCCGTTGTGGAATCCAATGTTGTTGAATATATTGTACGCGATTAATGCCCGGTTTGGTGACTGATAATACCAGATAGCTAGGTGTTACTGTGTCACTTTATGACACATGTTCACCGACCGACATCACATTTTACGTTCAGTCAGCTATAAACTTGACGATCTTTTAACTTTACCCCTTTGTGTCGCTCTTCCAATTAGAAATACTGTTTTTTATACTGTGTCGTTTTTTATATGACGCACGATTTACATTTCAATATGCATATAACCTATATACGAGTACTAGTAACTTTTTTCATACATTTTTTGCTTAGGGATCAACTTGCCAAATATTTTTATTGAAAATTTAAAAATAGACTCATTGCTTTGTGGCTATTTTAAATTCTTGTTAAATAAGCATTCCTAGACGGCTATAAAGGTTTATTTAAAATGAATCTCATAGACATAACCTTTTTTTTTCATTTAAGTCACTGCTGCCTACGAATGTCAAAACGAATGAAAAAAAAACCAGCAATAAAAATTTTATACTGTATTTATCATCAGTTTTTTTTAAATGTTTGTAACTTTGGCACGTACCATAACTGAAGATCAAAGCTGCAGAATATGTTGTCCTTTTCTATAACTTGAAAACAATTTAGAACAGGAGGCAGTTATTATTTAATCAAAGCCATTTTATCTTACAGGACAGAAAAATGCCGAATTAGATTGAAAATGAGACTACAGATTAATTAACCCCATGCTCATAATCTGAGTAAAATAAGAAGCTAGATCAGTATCTACTTTTCTTTTAAACTCCTAATACCTAATTGCCCATACAAAATAATTTGTAGCTAATGTTAAATTTCCTGACAGTTATTCGTGCCCATCAGTATAGTTTTAGCTTTTAAAGTAAGAGCACGTAGGGTCCTTAGGGTCCTAGGGTCCCATCTTTTCTTACAAAATGTAAGAAAAGATAAGAATTAATACTTTCATTATGTGTAAGTTTTTCAAAGTACACGTATGTACTAACTTCCGGGTAATAAAAACTGACCCTTTGAATTGACAAGCACATGCTTGTCAGAATGACCTCTCCAATCCTAAGAGTACGGGACTAAGACTTAAATAGCGAGCTACTGTAGTTTCAGTCCTGTTACAAACTCAAGTCTTGCTGTACCACTTACTCTAGCTCCTTAAATCCGTATCTTTTAACTTAATTAGCCTTGTCCCGTTGTCGTCTGCAAAGTATTGCATTACCGAGGAGGGTTAGCGGTTAGTTAGTTCTGGCTATAAAAGAAAACAACCAGCCATTTGTTTAATTTTTCTTTATTCATATAGTTGTCTTCTTCAGACACATAATATGCTCATAAATGCATATATCAAAACCTGGAAACGGCGGCGGCGGTGTGTCGGAATCTGGCGACGTCCAGGCACACACGCAGATCGCCTCCTCGTGACTGGCAATTATAGCCGGAGGATAAGAAAACGCATCCGTTCACCCGTGGCCACACAGAGATCAGCATGAGGCAGTGGAATGCGCGCCACTGCTACCCGGTTCATTGGGTCCAATTTGGTCTTTGTGGAGATCATCCTCAAGAGCCCTCTCCGCTGCCTCCTTCCGCGAGTTTCATCTTACATAGTTCAGCATAGTTCTGCCGTGCCAATCCAAAAGACTGTAACTCGACTTACAGTGTTTTGCCTTAACAACGCTCAAACAGTTTCTTTAAGTCGTTTTAGTACCCCTGATCAACACTTTTGTTTTTCTAGAGTGTATTTTGGAAGAGACAATAATGTAAAAAATACTGTATTGTATTGAAATTAGGGGTTTAACATGGCAAAAAACTGTAACAAAGCTTTCAAAGTTTCAAAGTCGTTTTCAAAAGTTACAGTGTATTGGATTGGCACGGCAGAGTTTAGGATCAAACAGCCATGTATAATGTGGCACATTTTTTATGTGAATACATGTTTGAATAATCATTAAGTACCGTGTAACATTAAGTAGGAAATTGGAAACTTTTATGACTGCCATGGAGCCTATCTCTAAGGATAGATCTTCCTCCATAGCAGTCATAAAAGTTTCTAAAAAATCTCTAAAAAGAGCTAAGGAGATCATATTCTTATTAGTAAGTTCGATCTGGTGGCGAGCACAACTAGTAAACATACACATATAAAATAGTTTCGTGTATAGCCTTCACAATAATGTAACAAGAAGACCTTAAATAAAATTGCTGGTTTATTTTGAACTTGTCGTCTTAAAGTCGGGGGAATGTGTTTGCAGTCTTGGCTATAATGGAGTCGTGAGGGCGCCGCGAAGGCTCCCTCTCTCAGCCCCTATAAGCTTCTAACTATGTTTGCTATGTTTATAGACTGGCGCGGTCACCGCTATTTCAACTTGTCTTTACGGTGCCTTCTGAACTACTCACTTTTATCGACGTTTTTTACTGTCCTTGGTTCAATTCCTAGTTTCTAATGGCATGGAATAAAGTATCTAGTAGTAGGAAATGTATGCTAGACAAATATTTCTTATCAAATAAAATATTTAGATTATAATTTCATGAAAACTTTCATTTCATCATTTAGATAACGTGTGTTACTAGGACAGCCGTATTATAAAATTACATTTTTTTTATTAATCTGAACCTATTTATATAAATAATATGCGGAAAATAGCTCGGCATGTACCTACCTTATTTATAGCCAATCAAGAATTTGAGTTTGAATTATATGTTTTGATTACCAGGTGACAGGAGTGGTCGGCAGGGCTGAAATGCTATCTTCCCTGTTCTTCCTCGCCGCACTAATTTTCTATGCGCGCGCTGCGCAGAGGAGAAGATGTACAGGTAAGTTAAACACTGCTTACAATATCTTATTAGTTTATTTTCCTCAGCTCTTATGTCCTTTTAATACTGAAAATAAAATTAACAATACAGATGTATGTGTTTACCTGTATAAAACGATTCAATTCTTGTTTGTCTGAATGAATTCTGTCTCAACTAAGATAATGTAACTGAATCTTAATCGTTGAAAATGTCCCTGATGTGACTATCGGACCACATTAGATAAATATAGAAAGTACAAGCTGTAACAAAAAATGATATTGTATTTCTTATTTGATAACAAACGTTCTGGCCAGTAAAAAAAGAAAATATATATTTAATAAGCGCATTTTGCTAAGGCCCTCGACTAGTATATCATTGCATTTGTCAAAATTAAAAAAATAACACTGAATTTTACTTGTGACTTTTTCTAAGTTCTAAAATACACTAATTTGGTTTTCCTTATGAGTATTTTTACTACATTTGTTTCTAGATCGAGATTTGAAAAACGTTAGGTACATTGTTTTATGAATATTTTTTTTACTTCTACGCAGAATTGTTTTATGTACAGGTATATCATATTAAATATAAATTTATGACAAAAGATAGAAAAACAAAGTTTTAGTACAATAATACAATATTTTTTTTAAATTGCCATAGTGATAATGATTCGAATAAAACTACGAAAGAAAACAGATTAAAAGACATCATTTATTTATTGAAGAATAAATATATATCTACATTTTTCATTTTCTTAAATCAAAAAGTTCTAAAAGCCAGTGTCTATATAAAACTGGAACACCCAAAAATTGAATTAAAAGTTACTCAAAGTAAGTACTACGTAAAGAAAGCTTAATTTTTTCACCTACCGTTAATATTTTTAACATAATAAATTATTTCGATATCTCTCAAGACCATAAACTAGGTGCTTTCGCTTACTTTAACTACAGTTAGGTACTTAGTAGTCGGAAGGTTGTTGTTGAATGATAAAATATCATATTTATTGTGCGAAGTGCTAACGCCTCTATATTTTTACAACAGAAAATATCTAAAACGTGAAATCTTTTATTATACTTGCTTTATCTTAAATGCCTTAGGAAGGGTTCCAAAAAAAGATGAAGATCTACCGTCAATTCTAGTTTTTGGTAGTTATTATGAAACAAAAGTCTCATAATTTGCCTTGCGTATAAAACTACACCTGAGATGAGAGCAAAAAATCAAGATCACATAGAGTTGGATCACATTAAAAACTGTAAATCTGGAAAACAAACAATGCAAAAAAAAACATTTTCAAAAGACAATAAAAAACTAAACCACTTTAATAAAAGTAATACGTTAATATTTATTTTATTTTGTTCGGGGAGCTTGCGGCTAAGTTTACAATGTACAGTCCACTTCTAGACATAGGCCTTTCCCATTGCCCGCCACTTACATCGATTTTGGGTTTATATGTATAGATTATATGTATCATATGATGTTAATTTTCTACGTGCCATTTCCAAGCTTCCACGTGCGGGAAGAAGACAATGCTAATTTCTAAAATCAAATCATCTACTAAAATATACATGGATTATACAAGAATTATGTGACATAACATTTTTGACATTGTTAGTGCTACTGGAAAAATCAATGATTTATTATGGTTTAGTCTGTTAAACATCCTGGAAACTCTAGCTATTATACCGATAATAACTGTGGCAAAATGGAACGTGGAGTAGATAGATTACTGGAACGTACCTTTCTGGAAGGCACATTAAATTTAATATTGCAAAGGATATCAGGACAGGCTGACTGGCTTTGAGCTATATTTATAAGAAGACAGATATCTGTTATTTTCCTACGAAAACAAACAAGCAAAAGATAAAGTTTACTGCATTGCTGTTCAAGTTGTTGCAAGTATCTGATAAATCGTTTATTAATTCTCTTTATATTATTGCTGTAGACATTATAGCAGGGATTCCAAATTTGAATTAAAACTCGAGGTGGCTGCGTACCTAGGCACAGTAAAGAATTTTTATAGTTTTCATATGCTCAAAGGTCTGGAAAAGCGTATTATGAAACCCAGAGCTTAGTTAATACATAGATTTTAATACTAATTGAACAGAAAAAGATCCATAGGAACCTGTTAAGGATTTAAAAATTATAAAATTTATATTTTTGTTTACTTAAACCATTTTTTTTATTTTAATTAAACCAACTATTTTTTTCGTTTCGTTTCGTTTCGTCGTTCACGCTCGACAATAACGGAATATGACAGACAGATAAAAAAACTGTGTCAAAATAAACGGAAATATTCAATTCTAATAGTAAGGACCAATATGATGCTGGTGGTCATAATAGATTCAGTTTGAAAATAAGATCTAATAATTTTCAGATTGGAGGTACGTAGTGGCGTGTTCAGCGTGCATCGGAGTGGCTATGCTGTGCAAAGAGCAAGGCATCACCGTCACCGGCGTTTGTCTCGTATACGAGATCTTCGTTGCACAGAAGGTTATTTTTAATACTCTATTAGTTTACAATATCAATTTACATATTGTTTACAAGAATGATTAGTTGAAAATTAGTATGCAAAATAATGCTTGAAAACAAATTAATAAAATTTAAACTGTACCGTGTAAAATCAAAAGAAAAACTTACATAAGGTCTGCAATATGAGATTTGAAACATTAAGGGTTCAACTTTTTTTAATTTAATAAAATGATAAAGTATTATTTAAAACCAATCAGTAAGAAAAAATGACGATTTTACAAAACTAACCTATCCAATCAACAGCGTCGAAACGGGCAGTTGCCCCGTTGGTGCTGGCCTTGGGACCTATGGAGTAAAGGCTCAGGCTGGTGGTACGCAGCTGGCGAGGGAGTCCGTCGCTTCTCTACAGTTTTCTGTGCATCCCTCGCACTATTGATCGCTAGAGTTCAAGTGATGGGTGCTCAACTGCCAGTCTTCACGAGGTTCGACAATCCTGCTGGAGCGTCGCCACCTCCTGCCAAGTAAGTTATTAAAACGTTTAGAAACCTTACAGGCTTTTCTTCTGATTAATTTTATTGTGGGTTTCAAGAAATTTTAATTGTGTGTGTGTTTGTGCGCCACTGCTATTGATCCTGGTGTACATGCAGTGGTGGGCGTGTGGGAGGGATTAGTCCCATTAAACCCTTGCTTGCTGTAGATGCTGCAGCTCTGACTCAATACCCTTACCACACAAAAAAATCTCTTATGTTATATCAGAACCGGAACAAGTTCACTGTTGACAAACATTAAGAGGCAAACATTAAGACCAATAACATAAAGTCCTAGGAAAAAGAGGAAAATATTTTTCCGCAAAATGAAAAAGAAATACGTTCTGCCATCTCGCACAAAGAGCTCGCGAGCTAACACATCGCTGACATTATTCTCATTTTTGCCACAGTCGTATTGTATCACATAAAGATAAGTTTAAGATTTAGGAATCCGACTGTTAGCGCTATTGTTCGTACACCTACATCTAAAGTAATCTAAACATAGAAAATGTAAACTGCAAATATTCACTGCAAAAATTACAAAATTTCTATCTTACAATAAAACCTTTAGTGAGTTGTATTTATATTTGTTAAAGATAGGTATGCTGTTTTACTCGTGTATGTAGTTTGGGAATGCCCGAGACTAGATCTGAATCCATTTTCAAGGCAGGAAACGTCCTTGCCATGTCCCAAAGCGTTAGGTGTCATCACCATCATCACCATCAACAGCCTATAATTGTCCACTGCTGGACATAGGTCTCTCCTTAGCCCACTACCATACACATACTAACCATAATGGTCGCAAGAAAAATCGTGTATTAAATATTTCGACATGCCAAAAATAAATTTAAAAAAAATATCTAACATATAAATCTTTAATGTATAAAATCATCTCGAATTTGACACATATTCCTAGAACAAAGACGATCAAAATGTTACTAATATTCAGTTAGAAAGTTAGTTATTTCAGCTTAGATCTTAAAACCTACGCAAATCTCCATTTCAAAGGTATCAGGATCTTGTGGTTTCAACCTTTGTAGACGAACAACTCAGCTTTGGGCTTTATCGTACAGTGATAACCATAATTGCCTTTGAGAAGCATATGTGACCTAACCTTGTTCTAACTTTATTGGGTCTGACAAGTTAAGACACATGAACTTTAGGTGCTTTCATAATTTATGTCAACTAAGACTAACTATACCCGAAGGTCAAATCAAATTAATTTAATTGTGTCCCTATTTCTATGTATTACTTAGAACCATTATAAAAAAAATTGTTCTATGTTTGACATGTCTCATATAATTGCGAACACTAGGCAGTGCTACTGTTGTACACACAGCCAATACTCATAATTTACGTATAAATGCCACGGTGATGTAATACAGAATCAGTAATATTGTTCTTAAACCTTTTAAAAAAAACTTTTATTTATTTATTAGGCTTAGGTACTAACCAACTATTTATACTAATAATACTTATAAATAGTATAGTAGGATTTTTCAAGCACAGCACAGCATGCACAAATTATTTACAGCTGATTAAGTGAAGTTATACAGTTACAAAAACAAACAGTGATTAACGTAGTAGCCATAGGCCACTTTAAAACAAAAATGGTAATTTGCACATGTGCGTGCCTATTAATTTTTTTATTGATACAACAATTAATTGGTTCATAAATGATTACAAATACAGTATATTTATACAGTTTACACATTAAAACACATTTATAAAATTATATACTTTTCATTACAGGTATCTTACTTTCGCATATCTCCCTGCACTAAACACATGGCTGCTGGCATTACCAGAGGCATTATGTTGTGACTGGACGATGGGTACCGTCGCCTTACTCAAATCGTGGCGAGATCCCCGGAATCTGGCAACTTTCTCACTGCTCGTCTGTCTGTTAGCGGCAACCGTACACGCTTTGCGGAAAAGATCTACTGCACTCTCAATGGTAAGAGTACTCAAATAGTTTTTTTTTTCTTTTTGTTGAAAATTTAGGCGTTCAAAAATGTCATCTAAATATAATTCCGATAGTAATAATAAAATCAAGTTTCGTGAGAATTACTTCAAACAATTTATGATTACCACAAGCTTCCTCTTCTTACTCCATTATGTTTAATGTTTATATACAACTAATAACTTTTTACTTTCAGGGTCTTGTACTACTCGTGGTGCCGTTCTTACCTTCATCGAACCTGTTTTTCCCTGTGGGATTCGTGGTGGCCGAGCGGGTCCTCTATATACCATCAATGGGTTGGTGCATGTTAGTGGCACATGGCTGGCGACTGTTGGCCAAACGCCGAGCGAAGTTAGCGGCATGTGCACTTATATTTCTCCTTCTAGCATTCAGTGCAAAGACTTACATGAGGAATTGGGACTGGAAGACTGAATATTCAATTTTTGCTTCAGGATTGAAGGTACGTGATCAATTACAATTAACGCAATTATTATTGTAGTTAAATAAATCTTTGTCTAATGATAATTTATTTTCAGGTTAATCGTAATAATGCCAAACTGTACAATAATGTAGGACATGCCTTAGAAGCTGAAGGAAAATATGCGGAAGCATTGGAATTCTTTAATACAGCTGTTAGTGTACAACCGGACGATGTTGGGGCCCACATTAATGTAGGCAGAACTTACAACCACTTAGGACGTTATCAAGAAGCCGAAGACGCTTATGTCAGAGCAAAATCACTTCTCCCGAAAGCGAAACCAGGAGAATCTTATCAAGCAAGAATAGCGCCAAACCATCTCAACGTTTTCTTAAACCTTGCAAATCTGATTTCCAAAAACGCCACAAGGTTAGAGGAAGCGGATATGCTATACAGACAAGCTATTAGCATGAGAGCTGATTACACACAGGCTTACATAAATCGAGGGGATATTTTGATTAAATTGAATAGAACGAAAGAAGCCCAAGAGGTGTATGAAAGGGCGCTGCTTTATGACAGTGGGAACCCTGATATATACTATAACGTGAGTATTAAGTGTAATTATTAAATATTTTATTTATAAGTTAGAAAAGAAAATCTTTGTATTGCGACTGGTTTTCGCTATTCCAGAAATGTTCTACAAACAAAAATTGGTGTTCATTAAAATAAAGGCTCAATGATTTTGGCAAGTCCGACCTAGACCATCTGAATCTATAGCTTATTTGAGATCGAGTGATCCAGGATTATAAAACTGACGAGACATTAACAATTTTTAACTAAACTAGGTAGAGAAATCATCCATTTTTTCATTTCCTTTTGCAGCTTGGGGTTGTTCTTCTCGAACAAGGTAAACCGTCTCAAGCATTAGCTTATCTTGACAAGGCGTTAGAACTGGAGCCAGAACATGAACAAGCGCTACTGAACTCCGCCATTCTCCTTCAAGAACTAGGTGCTGCTGACCTCAGGCATTTAGCCAGGCAGCGACTTCTCAAATTACTGGACAAAGACTGTAAGTAATAGATGCTGAATAATCTTTTGTTATCAAATTACCTAACACTGGTTTTTTAAATAGGTTAAACTGTTATCAAATTAACGAAATAGTTGAACAATTTAATTATTATCATATAAGGAAGGGCAGATCTTTAACCATAAATGTAATCTCACAAAATAGTCAATGTAAGTCACACAATCCGAATTCAGAAATACTTATATTACCTAAAATGAAGTGGCCTATAACACACACAGTTTCGTTATAATAATGATGAACTGATGATATTACATAATCCTTTAATATTTTATTTTTTCGAAAAATTACATGAACTTTGGCAGAGTTTCTTTAGATATGCACGGCAGTCTACATGAACGTTTGCCGAGGTTGAAAAAGTTTTCTATCTCTTCTAAGTTTGTGATCTCTTCTTTGTTGCTATCTTAACAATTTATTTACTTGGAACCGTTAGAAATTAAATTCTACACTTAATTATTTTAATTTACAGCAACAAACGAACGCGTACACTTCAACCTCGGTATGGTCTGCATGGACGAGGGAGATGCGGAATGCGCAGAGCGATGGTTCCGTGCCGCCGTACATTTAAAGCCTGACTTTCGATCGGCACTATTCAACCTCGCTTTACTGCTAGCTGATCGGCGAAGACCGCTGGAAGCCGCACCCTTCCTGAAACAGCTAGTTCGACATCATCCTGACCACGTGAAGGCCTTAGTTCTGCTGGGAGATATTTATATTAATTCTGTTAAAGATTTGGATGCGGCTGAAAGTGTTAGTATTACTATATAACTTTTAAATAAGTAGGTACTCGTAGGTTAGTTAGTCATTGAAGTTGAATTGTATAGTTTTTTTTTAGGTAGTCATTGAAGTTGAATATTATAGTAATTTTTTGTGTAAGCATGTACATAAATGTGATATTTAGTAACTTTCTGGTGGTTTTGAGTGTTTCCACGCTCTACTTAAATGTCCTGGTGGCGGTAGTGTCGCACTTCGGGTCGTTGATCTTGCCTAATATCGGTTAAGCTACACGATGGCTGCTGGGCCCGTATGCCGTCTGTATGGATAGGTCGACTCAAAACTATGGTCCTTTATTCAAAAGGCCTACCCAGACCCTACTCTGTACTCGCACAGTTTTCTTTAAATTTGTTTACAGACTAAAAAAAGACACCTCTGCAGTTTGTTTCGGCGTTTCTTCCCCCAGTGAGTCTTAGGAATGGACCTCCATCTACCTGTAAAGTCCGACTTGTAAAAATATCTGACAAGATTTATTTACAGAAATAAATTTATATTTTTTTATATATATATTATAATATCATTTAGTTTTTCTATTAATAGATAAAGGAAAGGAAAAAGGATTAGCATTGTCTTGTAATCTTGCCACCAGAAAGAATTCAGTTCAGTCCAGAATGTTTAGTGGAGCAGATCGTTTGCCGTCTCATTTCTGACGGTATACTGTTTCCTTAAAAAACGAGAATAAAGATTTTAAAGAAAATTTTATACCTTTTTCTAGATACTTTCTTTTCGTACAGTATACTTCTTAGAAGTACTGGAAAATTATTCTTCGGAAATTTACAGTGTTATCGGCGCATCCTGGAATTGGAGCCGGAAAACGTGCAGGCCCTGCACAACCTGTGCGTGGTGGCCGTGGAGCGCGGCAAGCTGGCCGTGGCCGAGGAGTGCCTGGCGCGCGCCGCCGCGCTGGCGCCGCACGAGCACTACATCGCGCGGCACCTCGCCGTCGTGCGCGCGCGCCGCCGCGCCGCCCCCGGCCCCTCCCCCGCACCCGGCCCCGCGCCCGGCCCCGCCGCACCGCCCGCGCACTCCGACGACGACGAGGTGCGAGCGAGATGGAACTACATCCCGCAGCAGCCGCCGGACCCGCACGAGATGGACGACGCCCCGTAGCCCGCAGTCTAGGACCGTTTAGCGATGTGAATAACGTTTTCGCTTAGGAGTATCTCGACACCGATCGGCCGGTCGCGACTCTATCTGCCTATCCGTATTTTGTACTTTTTTTTGAACGATCAGGGTATTACCTTCTATCTGTGGACGCGATGCGCCGTTTCATTCGACGGTGGCCTCGTTTCGATCTTTTTCGTTTCCCTCTTTATCTTTGTATTTAGATATGACGTAGATTTTGTAACGGTACTGAGCGAGGCGTTCGCGCCGATGTTTATGACGAATTATATATATTGATCTCGTAGGAAAAAATGATTTGCATAACGGCGTTCCGTGATATTAATTAAAGACATCTTTAATTCTAAAATGTATGCCATATATGATAGGTATTACGTAGAATATGTTTCAACGAGCTTTTGTCATTAGCCCGGTATACGGAATGTATGCACGATTACAATATATCTGTGTATTTAAAATGATTTATAGTGTTAATAGAGTGTATAAAGCTGTTTCCAGTGTATTATCTAAGTTTCTCTAGTCACAATACTCGTTTCGGTGAGATCTGTGTTTCGTTGTAATACCTACTCTAGTTAACAAAATGAAAGAACAAGAATTTAATGTCATTCGACATTTAATTCTTGTAAAATGTCCCGTGCTTATACACGTATTAGGCGTTCGATTAGTTGTACGCTCCGCTATAGGTATTTAGGGAGCGTTCACATTACAAAGTCTCGTTAATGCCCTCACGATTTTTTTGCAAATTAAATTACTAACACATCTAGAAATTAATTACTCTTTTAAACAAAATAATTTTGTAATACTAGCCGTATTTTGTAAATTCTATAAATAATGATAACTCGGTCTTACAATAAATAAATCTGTCATTTTTGTATTGAGTTACAATGTACGTACCTAGTACATTTAATGATGCTTTGTGGTTTTGTAGCATAAAGAAAAGCATTGTTTTTTCTCTTCATTGATTATAATCGGAGGCTTCTGTACAATTGTCTTTGTCAGTCCCATCATTGATTTTAGCTTTACAAGAAAAAAAATAAAAATAAAAGACCAAATATAACAATTTGAACATGTCTTATTTTACAGACGAAAGATATTTTATACCACAAAAATGATCTGTTATAGGTACATAACATATAAGTGATACCTGTTCTCCTGCAAGCTTCTCAGTGACACTTGGTTTGTGAACGCTCCCTACCTCATTAATAAAATACCTAGTTAAATAAATATAAAATAACAAACTTTTTCAAAATTACACACCACAACCCCACCGTCCAATCTTTGGAAAACTCATTTGTAAGGAACGCGGCAAAACTAGATCTGTTACGATATTCTTGTAACAACATTTTGTGTTGTGCACAATGGTGCAATGTCACGAACACGTGTGCGGTATGCCTGATAAGAGCCTAAAGCTATCTCTATCTCTGTAAAATCGTCTCTGAACACACTGCTGTCATGTTTTTCCAATATTAAAATGTCACGTGTGTGCGAATATACAAAAAAAATTGATTCATTTTATTTGTAGGTATGCATGTTACTAAAGAGATGACAATACGTGTATGGTGTTAAAAAATACAGCTAGAATTTCATAATCTATATTTTTCTCAGAATTCTATAAACCGAGGGCCTAAATATGGAACTTTTTTAGAGGCATTATATTTTTTAGAAAGCGTTTAAGATTGTGTTTAAAACTTCCACTGTTTAAAATTCTGATATGTGATTCCGAAAAATGATTGGATCAAATATAGCAGCAGTGTGTACCTACCTACCCTACTAAGTCAGAAATCGTGTTATAAGTATATATTTTAATACTTAACCTCATTTGTAAACTGATAAACAACATGACAACAAAACATAGTATTATTTTCTTAATTAATAAAGTTATTACAATAAAAAAATATGAACGTGATCAACCGTTATTAGAATTAGATGTGAAAAAAATGTAATGTTGTTAATGTTTTAAGATAAAAAGTAACTTTTGTAAAAACTGAATTTTTTACAATGTCTTGAAACATTTCTTGTGGGAACTCTGATATGAGTTGGATTCGTAAGGACCCCGAATATTGTAACTATTTGTCGTCAAAACGTTTATTTTTATAAAATAAAATGTTTGAAATGATAGAACATATTTTTATTGCTTACGAATTTTTAATTTTACCCCAAAATATACATAGAAATATCTGTCTGCTGTGTTACCTAACCATATTTGATGCGAGCCTATCAATGCCGCTTTGGATATTCGTATAGTGACAGACACTAAATAAACCTGTTACACAATATACACGGGTCTCTTTTGCCACGGTGACAAGAAAGTTTTGTCACTGTCACGTCACGTCTCCAAAGTGGTCTCCGATATGTGCACCGATTGTACCCTTGTAAAACACCCTTTTGCTGTAGATAAATTAGTAGGTACATTTAAATCGTACATTTGTACAATATATGATGCTACATTAAAACAATTATATTTTTTTAAATTTATTAACTCAAACTCTTAATCTCTTAAAAAAAAGAGTAAAAAAATTACAATGTTAAATCCTTGTATTTTTTTTTGTTTAGTTAGAGGGTTTAGTTTGTGAGGGAGGAGAGGGTTTGTGAGGGTTGTGAAAGGGGGCTAGACGGAAAAAATTCATACGAAAATTTGGAACGACACTTAATATAAATTGACGTCTAACTGTGGATACCATACATTAAATTTGCTTTAACGTTCGCCAACGTCCATACCATGTTGAATATAAAGGTTCTCGTCCGATAACCGAAGTTAAGCAACATCGGGCGTGGTTAGTACTTGAATGGGTGACCGCCTGGGAATACCACGTGATGTTGGCTTTTTGCTCTTTATTTTCGTGTCATCTTGTCAGACATTCAGCGCCACCTATCGAATAGATAGGAAATCATTTCGCAAGGAGATTTTACCAATGTTTAAATTGTTTTAATTGTTTTTAATATGTAGGTAATAGCCGCTTTCATAGATGGCGTTGTAATTAAAATCGTGTCAAATCAGTTTTACTAGATCGTCACAACTTCGTTCCTATCGGGTGTCCCACGACACCACACGGCTTTTTTTCGTAAAAAAACGAAATCAAGTTTATTTTCGCCATAACTCCGGGGGCAAACCGGAGCACGCGACCCGGGCGGCAGTTTCAGGGGACGCCAGAATCATAATATAGTATGATTAAAAATAAAAAAACTGTTTTTATGATGGGGGTAGACGAGCAAACGGGTCACCACAAAGCGCCTAGCATAAGCAAGCCTGGTTGGCTCACCGTCGACTTGTAAGAAAAAGGCACCACACAGGCCCACACTACAAGTGAACTTATATATTTGTGAAATTTTTAAAGTAATTTATGTCAAACGCTGGAGAGAGGGACGCCACTATCAAGTTTCTGCCCGGGTTCGAAAAAATCGTAGATCCGGGGCAGTTGTTTTGATAGAGGCCTTTGATTAAGGTCTTTGAATATACTTTAAAAAAGTTCATGAGCTCTTTCATCGTAAAATGTACAATTTTGCCGAAATTCAATGTAGGGGAACGCAGGGTAATGAGAGCGGTCGGGCAATGGTAGCTATGGTGATTGAACGGAACCCATGAATATTCGCGCGATCGTAAGCACTTGGCTGCTTCCGTCAACTATTGCGTGTTTTTTGCTCCACGCTTACAAAAAATTGACAATTGCCAGGATCAAGGTAAGAATGAAATTGTATTCTTATTTTATTGTATTTATGCTTATTATATCCCTGGATTAATTAACTAACAAGTCCAATTAGTTGTATTGTGATTGAAAGTAGAATTACATATTTATGTTTTTACTTTTCAAAATTGTGGTTAGCGGCTAATGGTAGCCTAGCTTGGCTCTCATTACGTTTAAGAGACATAAAATACCTTATTTTTTGTTTTAGATGCCACGTAAAAGGAATCGAATAACCACAAAAAACATACCAAGAAAGAAACCAAAGAGATTAAAAGTAATTATATAATTAAAAGTTTGTGTGCAATTTGTTTAGACACTGGAAAAAGTGGAGAGATGTGGTACAGATCCAGAAGTTGCGGAAACTGGGCACATAAAGAGTGCTCTGGCAGTGATAGTCCAGATTCCTATATTTGTTTGAATCTCTAATATATATATCTAACTTGTAGGTAGGTATATCACTTATTACTAATTTTACATAAATAATTTATTTTATTATAATTTAACTCACCTCGATTTTGTGATCAAATATTTTATTTTCTCCAACATTATTACAGAAATAATGCAATGCAGAGTTTGTTCGCGATATGCTAGCCTAAGTCGATTCATCACTTTAAAAAAATCCCAATCTATTCACAAAATACCTATTTACAACGCATACGTTACACTCTTCAAAATCTAAATTACCTATACCTACCCTAAAATTAAACTTCAATTAACAAATACTACACAGGTACCAATTCTATGAACAACTATAAACAATTCACCTAAACATTACGAGAAAACAAAAGCATTCAAAACAATACCTAATCTCCCGCCTGATTACTAATTATGCAATAAACAATCCTAAATAAAAATTATTTAAAAACATGTAGTTTTTTGTAACACTTATGTACCTACATATCCGTAGTAAACTTGCAAATAATATCCTACATATTTTAAAAGACAGCGCAATGTACTGGGTGATCGCTTTTTTGAAACCACCTAAACATGGTCGGGTTACCACGGACTTGCACCTTCTCATGACTTTTATTTAATTATCTCGTAAATTATTATATGTACGACGCTGAAATTTTACAGGTAGACAACTGAACTAAACAACTAATTATTGGCATGACATTCAGTTTATACATCCACACACAGGTTTATCGGTGGCCAAAAAAGGTCGCACACATTGTGATCGTGAACGTGGAGAGCTGCATTTCATCATAACTTTTTAGTCACTTACAGTATTCTTACGAAAATTCGTATACATTTAAAGATAGTTACAAGCAATAGAATAACGTTTGAAGTAAGTCTTTAGAGGTC